GCTTTTTGAGCTCTTTTAGCTAAATTGACTCTGTCAGCAGGTTTTATTTAAGTGATTTCTTGATTTCTCAGGTCTGGCAGTGGCTGATGGTTCATTCACAGTTAATTCATGACTTAACACAAGTGGCCAATTACTTTATTCAGGGTCAGGTGAGATTTTTTTCCCTTAATAAATGAAATCATCATTTAAAAATGGTTATCTTTGGCTAATATTTGATGCTCTGCAACATTTTAAGTGTGACACATATGCAAGAAATCCGCTGTACATGGACAATAACTTCCAGGGGATACCAGAAGTGAAGGGTCAGCTGTGGTAGTCAGGATGGGAGGAAGCTGGAGCGATCGCGTTTATCCCCGAGAGCTTTACAGAGGGCTTTCAAAGTGCTGTGAGAAACGAGCTAAATGCATGTAGCCTGGCTTATATCACTGAAACCTATCGGATGTTGGACGGAAACTTTCTCCTCCTGTGTTTGAGTAAGGCTCGTCTCCAGTGATATGGGGTTACGTTGGGGCCTTGTGTAATGGTCATTGATTGGACCGTCCGTCATTAAACATTGAGAGGAGGGCCGCTAGCTGGATCACAACAGAGGAGCTGCCAAGGGGGAGGGATGGGAACTGGAGCCTTTTTTCCCTCTACTGGGGACCAAAGCTTTTCTCATCTCTTTGGGTCAGCGATACACTCCCCCTCCTCCGTCCCGTCACTGCACTTTGATTTCGACTAATTTCCTAAATTCTCACAGTAGCTGTATCTCTCTTTCCCTTCCTCCCTCCATTAGTAACAGTCCAGCCTTGTAGAGGAATAAAGCTTCTGCACACATCTCAGGCTGACAGCTATTAAAAGCGAAGCAGCGATTAAACACGAACCTGGCGCCGTCAGCTAGCCTTTGTGAGCTCGGCGCAGGAGCCTCGACAACTCTGCGTCTGATAGAAGAGGCTGAGAGACTATGAAAGGCACCACTGAATTATATGTGAAATCCCCAGTGTGCATCTATCCTCTATTAGCAATGCAATGATGAGCACTACACAGGGTCTCAGCCGCGGCGCTGCTCTCCACGAAGTACAATTTTGCCGCTGATTTATTGTAAATAAACTCGGAAAACATGAATAAATTATTAATAGATAGCTTTATTTGAACAAATACTGGTCTGTATAAACAAGTAAATAAATATGCTTTTTGCATTTTATAAAAAAACTACAATAAATCCTAAAGAACTATAAAAGGTGACCAGGTAAAAGCTGCAAATATGCATAAACCAGAACCACATCCTGCATGCGCTGCTATAAATATCTGCCTATTTGAGGACTCAAGGTGGCATTTTACCCCCACAGTGTCTCCACAGGATTAGGCAGCGCTCCTGCTGTTTCATTAGATTAAAATGGCTTCAGCTTCTGAGCTGAGAGGTTCGGTATCTGTGTAAGTTAAGATCGCCTGTTCGGGTTTTGTAGCATCCTGTACGATGAAGAGCTTAGGATTCAGTTAGCACAGGCTGCAGAAGACATGTGATCAGTGTTGTGTATCGTACCGTAGAAGACAGAGGGCGGGTCATGGAAATAGGAGTAGGAGGTGAAGAAGAGCAGGTAGGTGCTGTAGGACCAGGACATGGTGTAGAAGACCAGCTTCCACGCGCTCTCTGGCATCTTGGCAGCATCTTTGGGCAGCAGCCTACACCACTGTCCGAGAGGCTGCAGAGGGAGCAGAGAGAGAGACGGTGAGACAAAACCACCAGAGGAAGTCGAGCTGACAATTAAATGAGCTGTTTCTAGACTTTTGGGGAGATCCTTGGAAACTGATTCAAGTAGAGGCTTTTTAAAAAATCTATTCTCCATGCAGTGAGAGTCTGGGAAGGCTGCTCGCTCTGCTCACGGTCGGCCGATACACGTTGAGGCTGCAGAGCTGAGGAAGTCGTTTAGTTGCCCATAATTCATTTTAGAGAATCGATCTTGTCTTGCGCTGCACTGCAAGTACTGAGAAAAATAATTAATAATTAATTTCAAATATTTTGCACAGAGTTGCAAGTTTATTGCCAGTAAGCTAAACAGTTCGTGCATGAAGCTTCGTGAAGCTTTGAGACTTTTGCAGGTGCAGTGCTGTGCAAAAGTCTCGAGCTGTGAATAAGTAGTAGGTAAATGTGCAATAGTATATGGAAATGCAGTATGCAAGGCAAAAATGCAATTTGCTTGAAAGCCAATATTTGGTGTGACCAGCTTTGTTCAGTCTTCTCTGAGCGGATGAGGCCAATCCATGACTGATCCTCTTCCTCTGCACTGGCAGCGTGTTTGGCACGACTGTAATGTTGACACTGAAGCTGCTGCCAGTCAGATGCTTCTACGTTTGTGCTGCTGGTGGACCAAAATCTGATGGTACTTTTCTACGTCCATAATTTGGATCCCCAGCACCTCTTACTGAAACGTTTTACAGATGTGTGCATCTCTCCTCACTTCGTCCGTACATACTGATGATGATTTGAGCCGAAGAATCTCAAATTTGGTTTCATCACTCCATCATTATTATTTCCACTCATTTTCACTCCAGTTCTGCTGTAATTTGACAAACCTCAGCCTTTTCTGCCTGTTTCCTTATCTTAAGAATGGCTTCTTGACAGCCTCTATCCACTGACCATGACCGACTGTATCAGGTCTTTGCTTTTTCTCCCCATTTCTAAAGGACACGACGTCCACAAACAGTTACCACAAATTCTTTAAGGACACACTGCACATCATGCCATGTTTTAGCAAAAAAACAACAACACACAATTAGTTAGTTGTTAAGTTGTCTGTAAATAGTTTGGTTCCTTTTTTAAGCATGAACACAGCCAGTGCTAAATTTACTCACATTTGTATACAGTGTAATAAAACATCTCAGTTTAACTTCTGCACTTCAAAACTAGACTGAAAAGTGAAACCAGCGTGTTGAGGATTCATGCAGTTTACAGCCAGGCTATCATACGCTTGTTTAATTGTTCCTAATAATCTGGCAACTGAGTGCAGAATGAAACCAAAGTACAAACAACTGAACAGACACTAAAAATGTGCAGGGGTCGAAATGCCCTTCGTTAAATAAGAGAGGTCAGCTGCACAGTTTGGAGAACAACGACGTCCTGCAGCTCTGGAGCTTCAGCACGCCTCTGCAGACTACAGCAGCAGCACATGACCAGAAAAGTCTGCTAATGCTTTCACGCAGAAATAGAGGAAGTTAGTGAAGAGGCTCCTCATCAGACAAACCCGTGTAGGCGGTACCTAACCCGACCCACCCACTCACGTTGGGCCTGTGTTATCTTCTTGGTTGCCCTCCCCCAAACTCACTTCCACCACTTCGTGAGGCCTTTTGTTGAAACAGAAACTCTTAAAAATGAGCATAATTGATTCGTTTTGAATGAAAGGGAAGAATCACTTGTGACACTCGAACTAATAGAGACGTGGACAAAGGCACAGCACGTAGGTGAAGTAGTGCACCAGGTAAATTAATCAGACAGCAGTGCTTGGTGCTGCACAGCTGTGCCAAGACAGGAAACCAGAGTCATCTCACCGCGTCGCATACAAACGACACGCACACTCGCTGGAAAGCCATGAAACGGTAACAGGAGGCAGCAGAGTGAAAGCTGGCTGTGTCAGTGATACGCTGCATCTCGATCAGTTGTTACCGAGCTGCTGGTCTACGGCTCCGTGATCCTTTTACATACATGACAAATTAATGGCGTGAGCGTGGCTGCAGATTAAAAAGCGTTCTGGTTTCTGCTCTTCCTGCATGACGCTGCTGTTTCTAACTTTTACGCCGGTTTTCAGGTTTTTTGTCTTTCTTCTTCTGCTTTTTTGTGTCTCTGCTGTTTTCTGGGTCTGACGTCTGTCTGCGTCACACGCACCAGTCAGAACAGGACGGGAAGGAAGCTGATGGAGCAACGCCGATGTGAGATTATTAAAAAAAAGCGTCTTTGTTGTACGCGATCGCGACACATGTTTAGAGGAACAGGCATCACGCGGGGGGCGGGGCACACGATCCCCAGCCGGGGCAGCTGACTGGCTGAGACGCGGTGCGTGCTGAGTAAGTCATGACACTGTCCACGTTCTTTTAAGTCTCCAGTACATCTCCATCAGCCCTCCCATCAGCTCTCTCTCACTACCCTCGTCTCCCTCCTGCCTGCGACATTTATTTATAGAAGCCAGCTGTCAGGACACAGCCCCCCTCCCACACTCTTAACACACACCCCCCTCGATTCACTCAAAAAAATAAGCTTTCCCACGTTCACAGTGGCTGAAACACTCGAGTCTGCTACAGGCTGCAGCAAAAGCACCAGCTCATATCTCACTGGTTAGTCGTTCCAGCTCCATCTCCAAGTAAAGTTAAAAAATATGGATCCTATCTGTTATATTCACCTCTGACTGTTTCTACATAAATATACACACACACATCACATGCATTACATGTGTTTTGAGTCATCTGCAGTATTTCTGTCACTGTTTGCACTGCAGCGACTCTGCACTGGGTTATACAACCAAAGGTCTGTCACAGTCGTGCAGTGACAAACACTACCATGTGTTTCTGTACCAAACTGTACAGAACAAGCTGTCCTGGATACATCAGAGTCCAACACGAGCATAGACTGTTTATGGAAGACAGACGTCTGGGTGTGAGGAGTAAACCTATCGTAAAAGTGCTTCCCTGATTTATGGCCTCAGTTTATGGGTCAAATCTGTCCTTTAAATCTGTATTAAATAAGACATCGTGGTCCTTTTTTGTCCCACAGTCCATCTTGTGTTTCGAGTCGATGGATTTGAGTACTTTTCATTCTTTCTGCTATTCTTGTTCAGGCTGAGAAGAGAAAAAACTGATAGCAGCTAAAACTATTTACAGAGGAAGTCTAAAAAAAGAGCTGAATGCTTTTAAACTTTTGACTTCTAATAGTTTGTTGACTCTGATCCGAATCATGCACGAGTTTGCACGACTTTTAGCTTTTTCGTCTGGTTTGGTTTCTGTTCGTCGTAGCAACACAAATGTGCTGCTACAAACCAAACATTCAGTCTGCTCATTGGCCAGACGTGTCTGCGGCGAGAGCAACAAAAGTAAATGAGCGAAAGACAAATGTGGTCACCTGACCAAACATCGCCGCTCATCCAAATGAGTCCTCGGGTCATTTTACAGCTAGTTACTACAGCTTGTGTACTCTGCTGCATCCCAGAATGCAAAGCATAGCTAGAAGGTATTTCCCTCAAATTTGCAGCGTATTTTTGATCGTTTGGTCAGATTGAGGTCGGGTCACAGTCTCGCCATAAACAAGCTGCTCTATTGAGACCGCCTCCTCCACAAGATTGAGTTAAATGACCATAATCATATCTGCACAGACAAACGGGGAACACGTACCAGCGTTTGATGTGAATGGGCTGAATAGCAAAGGTGTGAAAACTCCCTAAAACTCAAAGGTGAGCTCGACCAATATGATTGATCGCCATCGGCCTGTCTCAGATATACACATATTCACCTATATATATATGTGTGTATACAAAATTGGGGCTACATACAGCAGAGTACACATCACAGCTAATGCAGAGTCAAGCTCTGCCTCCATAGCTGGTCTCCTCCACCTTATATATATATAGACAGAGCGAGCTCCTGTATGACTCACAGTACAGCAAATTGTTACTTTTTTATACCTTTTTGTGTCTCCTTACATCCTGAGTATTAAGTCCAATAATAAACCAAGTTGTTATATTTTGGGTGACTGTGTCTAATCCCTGCATGATTACAATGACAACCACAAAACATTGGCTTCTTTGTAGACGTGCTTTCCAGGCAGGGATCTATTACTTTGGCCTTCCTGGTTTGTATTAGGTTTCAGTACTTGTTGTAACATGCACACAGCAAGGCAGCCCCCCTGTGCTGGCTATTTTTTGACAATGCCACTCTCAACAAAGTGATATGACCCAACAGCATCGAGTGGCTGTTAGCAGATTTATGTCACTGGTGTTTTTGGGGGAATACCAAAGATTCATTCTTGAAAGGTGAGCTCTCTATATTCTGGTCTTCTGGCCTTCGAGTATCCCAAACCCCACAACATTTGTTTCAAATGCAGATTGTGAGATTATGTAACAGTCTGCCGACGGCTCCCTTCTTGTCTCGCTGCGTGCCACCCAGCCCACCATCTCTTTGGGTCCTCTCCGCCCACTCCATCCATCTACCCTTCGGTTTTCTGTGCCAGCCTACAGAGCGGGGGTATAGTGGGTCAAGGACACTGAGATAATCCGCTCGTCCTCTGTCGGATAAATGACAGGGCCTTGAGTTACACTCAGCTGGGACCTACGACCACTCAACAGCTCCCCCCCCTCTTCCTCGCTCGCTCTGACAGACAGACTCTGGCTGAACTCGTTCTCTAGCCGGAGGCTTCATCTCTCTGTCCCCTTCTGTGGTTTCTCTCCCTGCCACAGAGAGAGGCCGGCCTTTAAAACAGAAGGAGAAAAGCATGTAGTGTACAAGTGTATATGGAGGAAGTGTGAGAGGGACTTGATGACAAATGGCTGGTTCCCATAGCAACCATGCAGGGATGCTGGCAAGGCCCTGCAGTGTGGCTTACAGTCTCTTTCCATTATGCTTCCACTTCCTTATCGGTTTTCTCCCCACTCTTTCCCAGCTGAAGTGTAGCAGGACCCCCTTATTACCCTCTTCACTCTCCCTCCCCCTGCACTTCCTGGAA